GAGGACTTTGACTCACTTGCGGCTGCTGTACCTCATCTCGTGGCCTGGTTGCTTGCCCCTGAGGGAGACCCGGATGCAGTAGACATCCCCACTCCGCGCACTTACGCAGAGGCGATCTCGGGTCCCTACTCCTCTCAGTGGCAGACAGCCATGGACGCAGAGATGGCATCCTGGAAGTCCACAGGCACCTACGTCGACGAGGTTCCCCCTCCTGGGGCGAACATCGTCGATGGCATGTGGATTTTCAGGGTGAAGCGGCCGCCAGGTTCTCCGCCTGTCTTCAAGGCTCGTTACGTTGCTAGAGGCTTCAGTCAGCGTCAGGGGGTCGACTTCTTCCAGACCTTCTCCCCCACCCCGAAGATGACCACTCTTCGGGTTCTGCTGCACGTTGCTGCTCAGCGTGACTACGAGCTTCACTCTCTTGACTTCAGCACAGCGTTCCTGCAGGGCAGCCTGCACGAGGAGATCTGGCTGCGCCGCCCACCTGGCTTTACTGGGTCGTTTCCCCTTGGTACCCAGTGGAGTCTCCGCCGGCCAGTCTACGGTCTCCGCCAGGCGCCACGTGAGTGGCACGACACACTGAGGACTACTCTTGCGGCTCTTGGGTTCGCGCCGTCTACTGCTGACCCGTCGCTGTTTCTGCGCACAGACACGTCGCTGCCGCCGTTCTACATCCTCGTGTACGTCGACGACTTGGTCTTTGCTACTGCTGACACTGAGGCACTCGCTCGTGTGAAGTCGGAGCTGCAGAAGAGACACACCTGCACTGACCTGGGTGAACTGCGTAGCTACCTTGGCTTGCAGATCACCCGGGACAGAGCTCGCCGCACCATCACCCTGACTCAGTCACACATGGTGCAGCAGGTCCTTCAGCGCTTCGGCTTCCAGTTCTCCTCACCACAGGCCACACCTCTGGCTACCAGCCACTCGCTCTCAGCTCCACCTTCGGACGAGTCCATAGAGCCGAGTGGCCCGTACCCAGAGCTTGTAGGCTGCCTCATGTACCTGATGACTTGCACGCGACCTGACCTCGCGTACCCTCTTAGCATCCTTGCTCGTTACGTTGCGCCTGGGAGACACAGGCGAGAGCACTGGGAGGCTGCTAAGAGGGTGCTGCGTTACCTGTGCAGTACATCAGGCATGGGGCTGGTGCTTGGAGGACGCGACAGAGTTGTCCTCACTGGTCACTCGGACGCCTCTTGGGTGGACGACCTGGCTACGCAGCGGTCGTCACAGGGTTACACCTTCAGCCTTGGCTCAGGTTCTGTCTCGTGGCGGTCCACCCGCTCTTCCTCTGTTCTCGGCTCTAGTTGTGAGGCTGAGATCTACGCCACAGCCATGGCTGCACAGGAGTTACGCTGGCTCACCTATCTGCTGACTGACTTGGGAGAGCGGCCTAGTTCTCCTCCAGTTCTGTACGGTGACAACAAGGCGGCTCTTGCCTTGTGTCAGGAGCACAGACTGGAGCACAGGACGAAGCACATTGCTCTTCGCTACTTTCTTGCTCGAGAGCTTCAGCAGCGCGGTCAGCTTCGGCTTGTGTACGTGGACTCGAAGGCCAACACTGCTGATATCTTCACCAAGGCGCTCCCGCCTAGTGATCATCAGCGGCACTATACTTCTTTAGGCCTTGTGTCCACGTTTCCTCACTTGCTCACTGCTTGACATTCTTTGTACTGTACTTTATATATATCTTGTTGCTTGCTTGCTAGGTTTTGATCACTGTGTTGCTTGTCTTGTACTATATCTAGCACTGCATGTGAACTGGCCTTGTGGCCTTTACTTGTGCTCGGAGTGTGGTGACGTTGTGATCCACCCTGGGCTTTGCTTTGCTGGACTGGTCTTGTGACCCTTTGTTCTCCCCCACTTTGCCTATGGGGGTGTGTTAAACTGTATTATGCTTGTAGGCTGTAGTGGGGTAGCCAATATGTGGTACAACCCCAACTAGGGTTTCATATTTGTACCCAAAACTTCTGCTAGTTCATCATTCTTGCCTAGTTCTTCTGACAGCACCATGTCGACCATCACCCCACTAAGCGAAGGTAGGTAAGGACGTGTGCCCAATCGACTTTGATCGGCGCGATCAGAGGCGATCAAAAATTTCGAGGAAGGCGGGAAGCAGATTTTAGGCAATCGGGGGCAATCAGCTGATCGCGATCAGCTGATCGCGATCAGCTGATCGCTCCAACTCGATCAACCGCCTCAAACAGCCCGATCAGACCCGATCAGACACAATCAGACCCAATCACTTGATTGCATGTGATCGGGCACCTGGGCGATGTAAGCGAAATGTAACACGCCTCGCCATGGGGTCTCGAAAATCATTGCGAATACACCCAGATCGGCGAGAAATGCATGCCATGGCGACATTACCACGATACTGAGATTCGTCAGTCTCGCAAAAGTTGGCCTGCAACTACCAGGTAATGGGCCGAGAGTTTTCATGCAAGAGCGCGAAACATTCGAGGAAAATCATCTCTGATTGGGCGGCGCGGGGAAAACGATCAGAAGCAATTCGATCTGATCCAAACCGATCCGATCAGAGCCGATCAAAGTCGATTGGGCCCACGTCCTAATTTGCATTGTATACGAGGAAAGGACCCACGCCACAGACAAACGGTGCAATCCTTTTGCTTGACGTTGCCGCCAAGGTGAAGCTAACTGATTGGCTGATAAAAAGGCCACCCCTTATACACAGAACAATTTGTTATTTTACTTACGGCCAACTTCATGGATACTCAAATTATGCCAGGAGCGCTTTGCAAGCGTACTCAACCCACAAATTCTCGTTAAAATACCTACGTATATTTAAAATTGAAGGAATAAGCACAATTCTCAATCAAAGGCACCACCAGCTACTTTCCCAAACGTACCCCTGACAACAAAACAAGAAAACAAACTAAAACCCTTATACAACATTACCATACGATAAAAAAAACAACCCTAAACACGGAAATTCGTCCACTGTTTAAGTTGATTCTTTAACATGTTGCCTCCGGTTTTCCAATGATTTATTAATTTTGTTGATATTTACCAAAACGTGCTCCGATGCGAGGGCGCACACATATACATTTGAGTTATTCCATGTTCGAGGCAGCAGGTCCACGGTCGACGGAGGCTTGACGGCGTTGTCGACCCCATTCTGTTGAGTTATTCCCAGTTTGCATAATTTTTTCCAATCAGTCTATTATTATCTTTATCAAATTTGCGCTGGATACAAATTTCTTCTGTAAAGGGTTGAGTATTCCATTTTTTAAATATATTCCTGGTAGCACCCAGACACAATTATTCATATTTAAGTTTGGTAACTACGTTCTGTTTCTTTCACATTGCGGAAGTGTTTTTAGTGTGTAAAATGTGATTGAAAAGCGAGAACCAATCAGCGATGAGAAATCGAAGGTGAGTACCGACGCAAAATGTCTCGGGCATAATTTGAGGATCAATGAAGGCACTCTCAAATATGATTTTGCGGGTACTGTCACGTCCGACGGTTCTTTAATACGAGGAGGCTCGCTTCGAAAGCATGATGCTGGTTGTAAAACTTTGGAACTACCTGAAACGTGGATGTCCTGGTAATTCCGGGTAGAGTCTCAGAATGTTTTGGGCAACTTCTGGAACCCCAGCCATGTGCACCAAACCAGCAGATGGTGGATTGTGGCATTTGTACCACGTGGTAGATAAAGCATGCGAAAGTGAATTGTGGTTCGTCAAACGACCCAGTAATCTGCTACTGCCAACCCAGCATTGCCACTTCAGATCCACACCCCCAATATGCTGACGTTATCGTGCTCGCCTTCCAGCAAATCACCCAGGAAAGTGCCCTCTTTGTGGGCATACATCCCTGCTTGGGTTGTGGGGAAATTTTCCTGCCACAAAACCGAATCCGTTTTTCCAGCCCAGCTTTTCACTATCACTTCCCGCCAGCGTGTCTCTTCGTCCTCCCATCCAAGCGCGCGGGGATCATGCCAAACCGAACCGCGTTACGCTTGGGAATGGGAGAGTCAGTGACTGCGTTCCGCGTTTTGTTCTCCCCCGTGATATGAACCTTAATCTAAATCCCAACTAAATTCGTTCCCCCGTGTCCCACATTCTTCCTCACTGTGCTTTGACGCCACTGGGATTGCCCCACGAGTCCGCGACTTCTCGCAGAGCTGGGGGATGCGCTTACACGCGCACACACAATAGTTCCGCAAATATAATGTACATGTTCAAATCAAACAAGCGAGACTAGCCCAAGCGGAACACTCCACCACCACCCCCTCTTACTTCCCCGAACCATGATTAACAGCCAATAGGGAGCTCCCATCACCGTCATTCTCAGGGAGCCTAGGCGGGCGGAACCCTTCCGCTCTCCCCCCCCCTCCAATCTTCCGCCCATAGAGAAAGAATGCCCCCCCCACCGGAGCAGTTGTGGCAGCAACAGCAACAGCAACTCTCGTCCTGTCCCCCTGCTATCCCCTTTCGAGTGGGGGAGGAGGTGAGGGGGGGGGAGGGGGGAGAACCAAGCGGACCAGGAAGGGACGCATGCTTCCCCGCGACACAGCACAACGCACCACGAAACACAGCCACAGCAGGGCGTGGCACAAGCATGCCTCAGCGCGTAGCGTCACCAACCGAACTGTATATGACCTTAACTAACTCAACCGAACTCAACCGAAACGTGCTGCTGAGTGTGCTACACTTCTGCTGCTCTAGCGTGCTGCTATCGGGTCCTCTTCGCCTCCTCGCCTCCTTTCCTGCTCGGTTGCGTGCGTGCCTCGCCCCAGAAGCAATAAAGCATGGAATCGCTGCAATGCATTTCCTTCTTTCTCCAGCTCGCCTTCGTGCGTAGCTGTGACCCTCCCCCTTCCCTGCCCTCTCCTCCCCTACCTTTTGCGTTCCGTCAACCTGTCCTTAGCGATCAATAACTCTAAAGTCAACTGTTAAACGATTTGAAACGATTTTTCCCGAGTTATTATTTTTTCGAAACGGATCGACTATCGTCAATCGCGGAATTTAGAATGCCTGGAGCTCAGAAGCATCTTTTCAGAGCTTTTACCACCAAGAGCGCGACCCGAACTGTTTCTGGGGTCAATAGCGCGTCTACTTCTATCGAGGATGAATACTACGCAGGATCCAAGGTCAAGGTAAACCACTTGTCAAGATTCGTTACACCGATTAGGGCTAGATAACCGGTATAGCCCTCGCATGATTGCTGCCGCTTCGCGAGGTCTTGAATGGCTGCATTCTTGAATTCCAATTTCTCGTACACGCTGTAGTTACCCTCGAGTACGTTTTAGATCACATGTCTCCACGACCCGTGCCTCACCATCGTATCCGCCTTTTTCTCCTCGCCGTTTCCTCGTCTCATTTCCCGTTCCGCATCGTTCCTCTCTTTTCCCCCTCCTATCGCTCCCCACTTCCATCCCTCTCCTCTTCCCCACCCCCCCCCCTCCGAACCCTTTCTCCTCCCGCCTCCCTTTTCCCCACTTTTCCCCCCACCCACGCTTCGCTCGACAGAAAGCATGCGCCAAGCGCGGGAGAGTCGTGCGCACGGATCCCGACGCGACGGACGACTCGTCAGAGGACGAGAGCTGCAGCCCCGCCTCCAAGCGATGGGTGAAGCCCGCCGCGCCGCAGGTGTTAATCACGCACGGCGTCGATTCTGAGAGCGACAACGAGACGAACGTCACTGCACCGGGCAGCAGCACCACCGCCGTCGGCCCCTGCGGCCTCGCTCCTACTCCGTTTGTCCCTCCGCCTTTCGCGCCGAACTACCCGGCGGGTCAGCCGCTGCAGTACATGCATCAATATTCCCCCGCTTCCGGCGCATACGCTTATAATCCCTATTTTCAATATGCCGCGGCGCCGGCCAAACTGGCGGGTAGCTGTCAGAAGCGAAGGTCGCCTCCGTCGCCGCCGTCTCAAGCTGCTTCTACAGCCGCAGCCGCCGCCGCAAGTGCCGCCGCCGCAACTGCCGCCGGCCCGGGTGCCGCTAGTCCCGCCGGTGTCGGCGCTGGCGCTGCTGCGGCGTATCGCGGGATGACGTCGTTGTCTCCCAACGGGATCGCCGTCGGTATGGGGGGGGCTTTCCTCCCGCGCACCATCTCGCGCGCGCGAGTTACGGCGCCTATTACGGACACATGGGCGGCATGCATACTCCTGCGACTCGCCTCTTTCCAGGCCCCTCTGCGGCTTCCCCTGTTGCTAGCCCTCCTCCAGCCGCCGCATCTGCCGCCGCCGCCGCAGCGGGTGCGGTGGGCTCCTATCCGTTCGATTACCCGCCCATGCACTGGATGGGGAACCCTCATATGGGATACCTCCCCGCGCTGCCTTCCCCGCATCCCACGGCGCAAATGACGCCGCAGATGCCGCCGGGCGCGGCAGAGTTCATGTACATGCAGTACGCCGCGGCGCAGGGGCAGTGCGGCGCGCAGCAGTTCGCGGCGGCGGCGGCGGCGGGCGGCCTGCCGGCCATCAGCCCGGCCGTCAGTTCCGACGGCAGTGCGGCCGGCGCGGCGGCCATGCAGGCGAGGCTGCGCGTGGGGAAGGGGAAGAAAGCGGACGCGCGGGAGAAGCAGCAGCGGTACCGGGGGGTGCGCCAGCGCCCGTGGGGGAAATGGGCGGCGGAGATCCGCGATCCCGCGCGCGGCGTGCGCCTGTGGCTGGGAACGTATGACACCGCGGAGGACGCCGCGCGCGCGTACGACGCAGCCGCGCGCGCCATCCGCGGGGCGGAGGCGCAGACGAACTTCGCGGGGGAAGACTCCGCGGATGGCGGAGCGGGGGACATTCTCGGCGCAGGGTCCGCCGCTGCAGGCGCGGGCGCGGGCGCGGGCGGAGCTGGCGGAAAGGCGGCGGTTTCTGGTGCAGGCGGTGGTGCTGGTGGCGGGGGTGGCGCTATACCCGCTGTAGTGCGCACCAAGAAGAACAGCAAGGCGCACAAGTACATGCAGGGCTACTGCAGCGACACCGAGAGGTACACTGCCTTCTCTGTTCCATTTGCCGCGGCCTTTCCCTGCGCTTGGCTATTTTCTCACTGCCTGTTCCCTCCCAAGCCTCTCTTCATATTTTTTTTACCCATTATCAGTTCAATTTCTGTACTTGTTTGAAATTGCTCCAAAGCTGACTCGTGCCTTTTCTGTTATGATTATACACCCCGTTTTCGTTACAGCATCCTCAGCGAAGTGGCTTCGGAAGTTTCATCATGCACCAAATCGTCCTCCTGCAACAACCTCTCCTCCGCGCTCTCATCTGCCCCTTCATCTGCCCCTTCATCTGCCCCAACGTCACCTGAACTCAAGACCACTTCTCCTGCCCCAGCCGCAACCGCTTCACCCAATGCACCCTCCTCCTCCACCCCGTCAACCGACTCAGACCTCCTCTTTCTCCTCCCAGAGCCACTCACTCACTCTGCTTCAGCTCCTGAGTTTGTCTCCTGCCATGCCGTCAACATCCTCACAACAACCGCAGAAAAGAAATCCGAGGCAGCAAACTTGCTGGAAGCCGGCTTGCAGGGGGGGGCAGCAGCAGAAGAAGAGGAGTTTCCAGTGTCTGAGCTTGATGCCGAGACCTTTTCTTTTGGCCTGGATGAGGTGTGTGGCGGTGGTGCTGGTGGTGATAGTGGTGCTCCGTTCTGGGACCTTGATGTTCCGCCGTACCTCGAAACGAACGAGATCGGCCTTGACAGCATTCTATGGTAATTCAAGTGGCTGTGTGCGGTCAGAAGCGGTGATCTGCAGTTGAAGTGGTGATGACATGGGCGGTGCACAACATCACGACAATGCGGCGAAGCACGAGCGGTGGCGAAAATGGTGGCCTGCTTTCAATCGGTGGCATGTAACTGCAGTATACGCAGTGGTATCAAATCCATGGACCACGTCCTCGTTTGTTTCGGCTCGGAAGATTCGAAGACTTCGTGGCGAGATGACAACACGTCTTGTGACGGTTCATGCAGCATCAAGAATCACATTCGGAAGCAGCATATTTTCTAGCATTGTTTGGGCATAAAAAGAGCCGGAGCACCTCATAACGAGCTGCTCTGGTGAATTCTGCTCCCTCAATCCAGTAGCAGGCAGAAGTTGCTGTACCTGCCTTGCCTTATGCTTTCTATTGTCTTATGCGTTCTAATGTCATAAGCAATGAGGGGAGCTATAGCATCTCCCCTCCCCCCCCAGCCAACCTCCTACAATCCTGTACCTGTCTCACATGTGATGTGGTAATTGTATGGATACCACATTCTTGCTAAGAGTTTGACTAACCAGCCTGCATGTAGCAGAGCTGCTCTGCTACTAATATGTATGGAATATACACAGTAAGTTCCATGTAAGGTGCATGGATGGAATGGAAGGTGCTCTGTATGCGCAGAATCTTACAACCACAAAGGTCAAGGAGAGGGGTTGTGGGTGGGGTGCGTGGGCAGGTACAAACACAACAAAATGCAGCACAATGCAGCACAATGCAGCGCAGTGCAGTGCGGTAGAAAGCAGTGCAATGAAACACAGCCTTCCTCCATGCAACATTCTCTCACAATGGCTTCTACATTCTTAATCTCCTGAATTGCTAAAACATGCAGCGAGCTCAGATCACTCTACACCGTACTGTATCGCTAAACACTACTACGCATGATATGCCAAGGTACCACAACAAAGGTATATGAACAGCGTTCTTGTCACTTGCTGCCTTCTATCCTCCCCGCATCATGCTCCATTCATTCGGAGTGTTGAACGCCGTGTTTTCAAACGGACTCCCATCACCTCCCACACTTGCCCCATCCAAGAGACTACCCATCCATCGACTCAAGCAGGCATCTAGCTCCAATCTTCCGGAGTGTTGAATGCAGTGTTATCTAGAGGGCTTCCATCGCCTCCCACACTTGCCCCATTCAGCTGACGCAACAGCAGCTCCTCCTTCCCCTCTCCCTGCCCTTTCACCTGCCCTTTCATCTGCCCGTCACTCTGCCCCTGCTTCCTCTCCTGCCCTTCCTTGTTCTCCTCCTCCTCTTGCTGCTGCTGTGCACGCCTAGCAGCCTCCTCCTCTCGAAGTAGCCCTGCAATGCTCCCAGGCATGTCCGACCCATAGATGTGCCCCATCTTCTTCCTCTTGGTCTCCAAATATGCCCGATTTTCCTGCGTGGAGGGAGAGTGAGGAAGTGAATAAGCGTCACTGCAACAAGCTCAGCGTCCCACATGCTCTCACATGCTCTCACATGCTCCCACATGCCCTCACATGCTCTCACATGCTCCCACATGCTCTCGCATGCTCCACATGCTTTCAGAAGTGATGTGGCAGAACACAGACAGGCAGTCTTCCAGTGACAGCCAGCCCACGGCCTTTCAGTCCGATGCACTTGGCAGGGTTGTTGGTCATCAAGCACAGTAGCAACACTCTTTAGCTGTGAGCTGTCTCCTCATTGCACTGACAGTCATGGAGCGGCGGCGCTTAGATATGGAGTGATGGTGCTTACAGGGGTGATGGGGCAGAGCACAGGCACACTTCCAGTGACTGCCAGCCCGTGGCCCTTCAGCCCGATGTACTTGGCAGGGTTGTTGGTCATCAGGCACAGCCACTTGAGATGGTGTTGGTCAGAGCTAGACCAGTGGTGGTTAAAGATAGGATGCTGTGGCTTACAGGGGTGATGGGGCAGAGCACGGGTACCCGGCCAGTGACTGCCAGCCCGTGGCCCTTCAGTCCGATGTACTTGGCGGGGTTGTTGGTCATCAGCCGCATTGTCCTGACTCCTAAGTCGCGCAGAATCTGAGGCGAGGTAAGGGGACGATGAGAGAGGGGGAGAAAGAAAGGCGGGATGGCGAGACAATTAATTTATGGGAGCTTGAAACCGCCACAATAGCAGGGGGAACATTTGAAGAGCGATGAATCCAAACACTCACCTGCGCGCCAAACACCCACCTGAGCACCTCAAGCCCTTACCTGCGCGTCAAACACCCACCTGAGCACCTCAAGCCCTTACCTGCGCGTCAAACACCCACCTGAGCACCTCAAGCCCTTACCTGCGCGTCAAACACCCACCTGAGCACCTCAAGCCCTTACCTGCGCGTCAAACACCCACCTGAGCACCTCAAGCCCTTACCTGCGCGTCAAACACCCACCTGAGCACCTCAAGCCCTTACCTGCGCGTCAAACACCCACCTGAGCACCTCAAGCCCTTACCTGCGCGTCAAACACCCACCTGAGCACCTCAAGCCCTTACCTGCGCGTCAAACACCCACCTGAGCACCTCAAGCCCTTACCTGCGCGTCAAACACCCACCTGAGCACCTCAAGCCCTTACCTGCGCGTCAAACACCCACCTGAGCACCTCAAGCCCTTACCTGCGCGTCAAACACCCACCTGAGCACCTCAAGCCCTTACCTGCGCGTCAAACACCCACCTGAGCACCTCAAGCCCTTACCTGCGCGTCAAACACCCATCTGAGCACCTCAAGCCCTTACCTGCGCGTCAAACACCCACCTGAGCACCTCAAGCCCTTACCTGCGCGCCAAACACCCACCTGAGCACCTCAAGCCCTTACCTGCGCGTCAAACACCCACCTGAGCACCTCAAGCCCTTACCTGCGCGTCAAACACCCACCTGAGCACCTCAAGCCCTTACCTGCGCGTCAAACACCCATCTGAGCACCTCAAGCCCTTACCTGCGCGTCAAACACCCACCTGAGCACCTCAAGCCCTTACCTGCGCGCCAAACACCCACCTGAGCACCTCAAGCCCTTACCTGCGCGCCAAACACCCACCCGAGCACCTCAAGCCCTTACCTGCGCGCCAAACACCCACCTGAGCACCTCAAGCCCTTACCTGCGCGCCAAACACCCACCTGAGCACCTCAAGCCCTTACCTGCGCGCCAATGCCATATTCCCTGGAATCAGCTGGAAAGCCCAAGTCCACATTAGCCTCCACTGTATCCCGGCCCATGTCCTGTGTGGGGGGGATGGGTGCCAAGGGACATGATAGGTGGGATGAGAGAGAGTTTGAGACGTATTGAAACCAATCTGTTGTCAGTCAGCTGGAAAGCCCAAGTCGACATTGGCCTCCACTGTATCCCGGCCCATGTCCTGTGTGAGAGTGAAGTTGAAGAAGTGGGGGAAGAAGTGAGGAGGAAGGGGAAGGAGGAAGGAGGGAGATCGGGGAGAGGGGAGGACGAGGAGGGGAAAAAGTGGGGTAAGGAAGTGAGGAGGACGGGGGGAGATCGGAGAACAGGGAAATGGGAGAAATAAGTTAGAAGGAGAGTAAGAACACCAGAGACCACACTAGGGGGGGTAGCTTGGGGCATTGTGGGCCATTCAAAACCAAATTCGACAAATATGGCATTGAAGGTGCGGTAAGGATGAGGCTAAGGAAGAAAACAAACTACAGCAGACACCCTTGCTAATACACTCCTTACAACCGCATGAATTCTCACCCCTAACAACAAGCCACCCATACCTGCAGGTTGTATGCTTGCAGCTTGTGCCCTAGTTCGATCCCCCTGCCCTCGTGCCCTCGCGTCCTCTCAGTTACTTAGAGACACACACACCCCGCCCTGCCCTCTCACCCTTCACATACCTGCAGATTATACGCCTGAAGCTTGTGCCCCAGCCCGACCCCCCTGCCCTCGTGCCCTCGCATCCTCTCTGTTACACACACACACCCCGCCCTGCCCTCTCACCCTTCACAGCAATCACTTACCTGCAGGCTGTATGCTTGAAGCTTGTGTCCAAGGCCAATCCCCCTCCCCTCATGCCCGCGCAGGTACACACACACCACCTCGACCCAATCTCCCTGCCCTCATGCCCTAGCAATACACCACCCATACCTGCAGGTTGTATGCTTGAAGCTTGTGTCCAAGCCCGATACCCCTCCCCTCGTGCCCGCGCAGGTACACACACACGCCCCTCCCCGCCGCTTCTATCCTCTTCATAGCCTGCTCCAGTTGTGGCCCGCAGTCACAGCGCCTTGACCCAAAGATGTCTCCCGTGAGGCACTCTGAGTGCACTCGCACCAACACATCCACCCCATCGCCGATCTCGCCCTGTGGTGGTTGGGTGATGGGGTGGGGAGCAAGTAGGTGATATACAGAGGGAGGTGTGGCACAAACGAGGTAAGCAGTCGAGGCCCGCAATCACAGCGCCTGGACCCAAAGATGTCTCCCGTGAGGCACTCTGAGTGCACTCGCACCAACACATCCACCCCGTCGCCGATCTCGCCCTGTGTGTGAAAGGAGGGGTGGCAGTAGGGTGGGGGAGGGAAACAGTAAGCAGTGGATGGGAGGGCGGGAGTGGGGTGAGGTGGAAAAAAAACAGCAGGTGACAAGTTCAAGCATACCACACTAAGCGAAGGTGGTGTGCGGTTCAAAGTGGTGCACTCACCTTGACCATGGCAACATGCTCGATGCCATCCAGCTTGCACTTGTAGCTGAAGATGTTGAACACGCCCCACTGGGTGGGCAGGAGGCATTGTGCAGTGCGGTTTAACGCGGTGAAGTACAATCTAATGAGTTCCAGACCGGCTCACCTTGACCATGGCAACGTGCTCGATGCCATCCAGCTTGCACTTGTAGCTGAAGATGTTGAACACACCCCACTGGGTGGGCAGGCGGGCCACTGCAGTTCGCTCCACCAGCTTCTCCCTCTTGCGCCGGTACCTGTGTCAGGGGGAGTGGGTGAAAGGGAGTGGGTGAAAGGGAGTGGGTGAAAGGGAGTGGGTGAAAGGGAGTGGGTGAAAGGGAGTGGGTGAAAGGGAGTGGGTGAAAGGGAGTGGGTGAAAGGGAGTGGGTGAAAGGGAGTGGGTGAAAGGGAGTGGGTGAAAGGGAGTGGGTGAAAGGGAGTGGGTGAAAGGGAGTGGGTGAAAGGGAAAGGGAGTGGGTGAAAGGGAGTGGGTGAAAGGGAGTGGGTGAAAGGGAGTGGGTGAAAGGGAGTGGGTGAAAGGGAGTGGGTGAAAGGGAGTGGGTGAAAGGGAGTGGGTGAAAGGGAGTGGGTGAAAGGGAGTGGGTGAAAGGGAGTGGGTGAAAGGGAGTGGGTGAAAGGGAGTGGGTGAAAGGGAGTGGGTGAAAGGGAGTGGGTGAAAGGGAGTGGGTGAAAGGGAGTGGGTGAAAGGGAGTGGGTGAAAGGGAGTGGGTGAAAGGGAGTGGGTGAAAGGGAGTGGGTGAAAGGGAGTGGGTGAAAGGGAGTGGGTGAAAGGGAGTGGGTGAAAGGGAGTGGGTGAAAGGGAGTGGGTGAAAGGGAGTGGGTGAAAGGGAGTGGGTGAAAGGGAGTGGGTGAAAGGGAGTGGGTGAAAGGGAGTGGGTGAAAGGGAGTGGGTGAAAGGGAGTGGGTGAAAGGGAGTGGGTGAAAGGGAGTGGGTGAAAGGGAGTGGGTGAAAGGGAGTGGGTGAAAGGGAGTGGGTGAAAGGGAGTGGGTGAAAGGGAGTGGGTGAAAGGGAGTGGGTGAAAGGGAGTGGGTGAAAGGGAGTGGGTGAAAGGGAGTGGGTGAAAGGGAGTGGGTGAAAGGGAGTGGGTGAAAGGGAGTGGGTGAAAGGGAGTGGGTGAAAGGGAGTGGGTGAAAGGGAGTGGGTGAAAGGGAGTGGGTGAAAGGGAGTGGGTGAAAGGGAGTGGGTGAAAGGGAGTGGGTGAAAGGGAGTGGGTGAAAGGGAGTGGGTGAAAGGGAGTGGGTGAAAGGGAGTGGGTGAAAGGGAGTGGGTGAAAGGGAGTGGGTGAAAGGGAGTGGGTGAAAGGGAGTGGGTGAAAGGGAGTGGGTGAAAGGGAGTGGGTGAAAGGGAGTGGGTGAAAGGGAGTGGGTGAAAGGGAGTGGGTGAAAGGGAGTGGGTGAAAGGGAGTGGGTGAAAGGGAGTGGGTGAAAGGGAGTGGGTGAAAGGGAGTGGGTGAAAGGGAGTGGGTGAAAGGGAGTGGGTGAAAGGGAGTGGGTGAAAGGGAGTGGGTGAAAGGGAGTGGGTGAAAGGGAGTGGGTGAAAGGGAGTGGGTGAAAGGGAGTGGGTGAAAGGGAGTGGGTGAAAGGGAGTGGGTGAAAGGGAGTGGGTGAAAGGGAGTGGGTGAAAGGGAGTGGGTGAAAGGGAGTGGGTGAAAGGGAGTGGGTGAAAGGGAGTGGGTGAAAGGGAGTGGGTGAAAGGGAGTGGGTGAAAGGGAGTGGGTGAAAGGGAGTGGGTGAAAGGGAGTGGGTGAAAGGGAGTGGGTGAAAGGGAGTGGGTGAAAGGGAGTGGGTGAAAGGGAGTGGGTGAAAGGGAGTGGGTGAAAGGGAGTGGGTGAAAGGGAGTGGGTGAAAGGGAGTGGGTGAAAGGGAGTGGGTGACAGGAAGAGGGTGACAGGGAGTGGGTGAAGGGGAGTGAGTGACGGAGCCTGGGTGAAGGACCGGCTGTTCGACACCATAGAGACGGTGCCGTGCGTGTAGAAGAAGGCCGAGTGGACAACTCGCTGGATCGACGTCCAGTCTAGATCAGCCCTGATAAGAAGGGGGGGAAGGCTGGGCGACCCATTCGACACCGTCTCTATGGCGTGGAATAGGGCTGACCACCCTTTCCCTCTTCATATCAGGGCTGACCTAGACTGGCCGTCGATCCAGCGAGTGGTCCACTCGGCCTTCTTCTTCACGCACGGCATCGTCTCTATAGCGTGAAACAGCCGGTCCTTTTCACCGTCTCTATGGCGTCGAACCGCACTGAACTACCATACCTAACAAGATACTTGACGAAGATGAGGCACTGTACCATACCATACTGAATTCAACCACATTGTATTCACCACTTTACCTGATAAGACCCTCAATGGAGATGAGGCAGAGGTTGTGCTGGAGGTTGTGCTTGCGGCATGCGCGCCATGGTGCCATCATCGTTCACTATTCCACGGAGCAACACACCTACTACTTGCACCATACCATACCGTACCATACTACACTCTACCACATTGCACTGCACACCACTCCTTACCTGATTAGGTCCTCGATGGAGATAAGACAGAGGTTGTGCTGGCGGGCAAAGACCTTGAGCTGAGGCATGCGGGCCATGGTCCCATCGTCGTTCACTATCTCACAGAGCACTCCCACAGGGGGAAGGCCAGCCAGCACTGAGAGATCCACTGCTGCCTCTGTGTGCCCTGCTCGCTTCAGCACTCCACCTGGGGGATTGTGTGAGAGGTGGGGGCAGCACAGGAGAAACACAAAAACATTCAATACCGTATGGTATGGTATGAGGGACAACGTTCACTATCTCGCAGAGCACGCCCACAGGGGGCAGCCCCGCCAGCACTGAGAGATCCACTGCTGCCTCTGTGTGCCCTGCTCGCTTCAGCACTCCACCTGAGATGGAGTGAGAGGTGGGAGTAGCAGAGGGAACATTACAGAATATGGCACAATAATGGGAATGGTGGAATGACCCCACCCAACCAAATAGCACCACACTATATAAAATCAAATGATGCTGTTCTAGCAGGAAGGTGCCAAACCTTCTCGGCTTCGCACAGGGAATCTGTTGAAGAGGTGAGACGAGGTAGGAAGAGGTGAGAAGAGGTGGAAAGATGTGGCGTGGACTCCGTACCTTCTCTGGAGCGCAGGGGGAAGATGTGGCCGGGCTTGCGGAAGTCTGAAGGCTCACTCGAGTAGTCTGCCATCGCCCTCACTGTTTTTGCCCGGTCTGACGCCGATATGCCCGTTGTAGTTCCCAGCTTCAGGTCCTGAGACGTGATAAGAGAGGGGTACGAAAGGGGACGCACTTTGTGTGTGTGAATAGAAAGTTGTGCATCGACTCAAAACTCATTCGAGCAGTCTGCCATCACCTACACCATATTGGCTCAGTCTGACGCCGATATGCCTGTTGTGGTTCCCAGCTTCAGGTCCTGAGACGTGATAGGGGAAGGAGACGAGTTGCAACTCTGGAGCTGATAAACGAAACACACTGCCTTGCCTTGGCTCTGTTTCAAGCATAAATGCTCATTTTGGTTCACTGAGTTCGAACCATCAGAGGCAGCTGCAGGCGGTCCAAATTCATGCTCACCCACACAATCAGCACACACATCCCCACACGCTCTCATTCACCAAACGCACATACCCCCCCCCACACAAAGGCACTCACCACAGAGACAGTGAAAGCAGTCCTCAGTTTCATCGTTCTCCTGAGATCGGACCATCAGCGGCAGCTCCAGGCAGTCGAGAACAGCCCCCGCCACGCCCACACACACTCAGCAAACACATCCCCACACGCTCTCACTCACCACAGACAAACGCGCTAACGCACATCCCTGCACTCTCACTCACCACAGAGACAATGAAAGCGGTCCTCAGTGCCTCGTCATTCTCCTGAGATCGAACCATCAGAGGCAGCTCCAGGCGGTCCAGCACAGCCCCCGCCACGTCCACACACACGAGCCCGCTGCAGTGCCGCACGATGAAGGCCATGTCCGCCCGCCTCTGTTGTGAGCGCAGCCACTCAACACACGCACACGCCCTTCCACACACTTGCATTGACGCACAGACGCAGCTCTATCTACACGCACAGAAACTCACCACAGACACAGTGAAAGCGGTCCTTAACGCCTCGTCGTTCTCCTGGCTCCGAACCATCAAGGGCAGCTCCAGACGGTCCAGAACAGCCCCCGCCACACCCACACACACGAGCCCGCTGCAGTGCCTCTGTTGTTAGCACAGGAACTCACCACAGAGACAGTGAAAGCTGTCCTCAGTGCCTCGTCGTTCTCCTGCGATCGGACCATCAGCGGCAGCTCCAGGCGGTCCAAGACAGCCCCAGCCACGCCCACACACACGAGCCCGCTGCAGTGCCTGACGATGAACGCCATGTCCGCCTCCGTTGTGAGCGCAGCCACTCACATGCTCACGCACACACCCACCCACTTGCAGTCTCAACCACACCAACACGCACACACCAAGCTGATCACCCCAGAAGCAGAAACTCACCACAGACACAGTGAAAGCTGTCCTCAGTGCCTCGTCATTCTCCTGGCTCCGAACCATCAAGGGCAGCTCCAGGCGGTCCAGCACAGCCCCCGCCACGCCCACACACACGAGCCCGCTGCAGTGCCTGACGATGAACGCCATGTCCGCCTCCGTTGTGAGCGCAGCCACTCACATGCTCACGCACACACCCACCCACTTGCAGTCTCAACCACACCAACACGCACACACCAAGCTGATCACCCCAGAAGCAGAAACTCACCACAGACACAGTGAAAGCTGTCCTCAGTGCCTCGTCATTCTCCTGGCTCCGAACCATCAAGGGCAGCTCCAGGCGGTCCAGCACAGCCCCCGCCACGCCCACACACACGAGCCCGCTGCAGTGCCTGACGATGAACGCCATGTCCACCTCCGTTGTGAGCGCAGCCACTCACATGCTCACGCACACACCCACCCACTTGCAGTCTCAACCACACCAACACGCACACACCAAGCTGATCACCCCAGAAGCAGAAACTCACCACAGACACAGTGAAAGCTGTCCTCAGTGCCTCGTCATTCTCCTGGCTCCGAACCATCAAGGGCAGCTCCAGGCGGTCCAGCACAGCCCCCGCCACGCCCACACACACGAGCCCGCTGCAGTGCCTGACGATGAACGCCATGTCCGCCTCCGTTGTGAGCGCAGCCACTCACATGCTCACGCACACACCCACCCACTTGCAGTCTCAACCACACCAACACGCACACACCAAGCCGATCACCCCAGAAGCAGAAACTCACCACAGACACAGTGAAAGCTGTCCTCAGTGCCTCGTCATTCTCCTGGCTCCGAACCATCAAGGGCAGCTCCAGGCGGTCCAGCACAGCCCCCGCCACGCCCACACACACGAGCCCGCTGCAGTGCCTGACGATGAAGGCCATGTCCGCCTCTGTTGTGAGCGCGCCCGCCATGATCAGATCGCCCTCGTTCTCCCTGTCCTCGTCGTCCACCACCACCACCATCTGAGGGGCGAATGGGGAGGGAGGATGGGGAAGGTGGGGAGAAGGCAAGAGCGGAAGGGTGGGGGGGAACAAGCCATGATCGAATCGCCCTCGTTCTCAAGACCTTCACATCTACCAACCCCATCTGTGTGGAGAGGAGGAACGGGAGAAGGCAAGGAGGGAGAGCCAGGGAAGGGTGGGGGGGAAGAGGGCGTGAGGGGGGAACAAGTCACATGATAGATCGCAATCCTCGTTCTCACAATCCTCGGCATCTATCCCCTCACGCTGCTCCCCCTAGCATAACCTCCCTCTCTTCCCTCCCCTTCCCCTCCTTCCCTCCTTTTCCCCCTCAGTGACATGGCATCCCCCTAACTCACCTCGCCCCGTTTGATGGCCTCAATGGCTTCAAAGTTAAAATTAAGCTCTCTAGATGGACGGTCAGGATCGTCTCCTCCCCCCCACACAGCCTGCCCCGCTAGCTCACCTCGCCCCGTCGGATGGCTTCAATGGCTTCGGCAATGGAGTTGAGCCCTCGAGATGGACGGTCAGGATCGTCGTCAGCCTCGCTGGCGAAAAACTCTTCCGAGTCTGAATCTGAAAGCACCTCCATCTCGACCGTGCTCATGCTGCCAGTGAAGGCATGAAAAGGGAAGGGAGGGGCGGCGTGGGGAGAGGGGCAGACATGGGCGGGAGGGGGGTGGAAACGCGTGCTTCAATCCGAGTCCGAGTCTAAGAGCACTTCCATCTCGACCGTGCTCATGCTGCGACGGAGAGATGCAAGAGTGCAAGAAGGGAGATTGGGAGCGGAAGTACGTTCGAACCGAGACCACTACTGGCAGCTGTTCCATTCCACCTCCCTCCACTCATTCCAGCACAGCATTTGTTTTTGTTTTGTTTTCCTTATTTTCATTCTCCCAGAAGGACTCTCACAGAAGTTCCGTTCCATCTCCCCCAAGATCATGCAAAACCAAAGGGCTGAACAGGAAGCATTTAGGAGACGCGAACGAAAGACGTAATCACGTGCTTTCGATTTGCAGACCACCAACCCCATTTTTGCCGTTCACGGTTCTCACGTTCCTGGAATCATGATCACCTTTCGATTTCTCACATTCATTGAATCATGCAGATCATGCAGCCCAACACACATGGCCAGAACTTTCCTTCCTCTTCTCGTGTTTACCCCATTTCATTGTTCAACAGCGGATCGAAGTCCTTCTGCCGTACACAGAAACAAAACTGACCTTGGCATTTCCGGACTGCTGGCTGCGCCGTTCCCTGGGACGGAAGCTTCCTCATCTCCCGACGAAGCGGCACAGCAACATAGCCGACCCTTTCTATGAGCGTTTTCTCGCTCCAAAGCTCCCCTTCTCCCCGCATCCCTCCATCGGACCCTCCCTCTCTCCATCGGACCCTCCCTGGTGCTACTGCTTGCTGCTGCTGTAACTGCTGTCCCCAGAAACCTCGCCGCTGATTCTCTAATCCGCTGCTGCTGTTCAGTTTGGTGCTAGAGACCCCAACGTTCCGTACGGCTCTCTGATGGCAGATCGGAGCACGGCTACAGATAGGGGTTCTGCTAGAGCACTGTGGTGATGAAATTCTGGACCCTCGTCGCTCTGCGATGTTTCTGGGGCCAATGATCTGGTCTCTGTTTGGGTAGGGTGTGACGGAAGAAAAGAAACGGATACTTGGCTGCATTGCTATGACGCATCGCGATAAGGCACGGTGAGGCTGGTGAACTTCAGGCGGTACGATAGGTCCTGGAACCACAGCGAGGATCGTTATAACAAATGCTTGATTAGAAAGGTGTTCGCGGGCATGCGACCAGACACACGTATGATAAAGGGGAAAGGAGCGTCCAAGAGTCGAATGTAGGATGATTCCTACAAAGAATGATTGTCTAAAAAAAGCGATCAGCCCTCTCACACTGGAGTAATCATCGTACTAAGGCCTAATGGCGATCATTGCTACAGAAATTCCTTACAATGAGCTCCCCGCAGGAGGCCGAGCTATCGATCCACACAACTCCATGGCTTGACTTGCTGATCACGCTTTCCGAAATCACTGTTAACTTCAGCCGCTACTTTCGTTTCGGAGTAAATTTCTTGCGAGTGACTCGGTGCAATTACGTGGTATCTGAGCAGCGTAGGTGACTAAGACAGGTCACTAAGGGAACCTCAAAGGCCGGAAATTGGTGATCCCTAGGAACCTTGGAAACACAACAGAATCTAGTGGACAGGGAAATGCTGTTCTTGCATGGCAAGTACATGAGTTCTGCAAGAACGGAAAACAAGAAAGCAAACGAGGAACAACCATGGAACCTTTCGTGTACGGTAAGCTTCGGTGGGTGAGGAGAAGTGAAGCAAAGAAGCATGCTGACGACATAGCTGAAGGAATCAGGCGGGCCAAGGCATAGAGCTTACCGAACCTGCCAATGCCTTCATTGGAAACCTGTTTCCGGTTCGGCGAGACAAACTTTTAGGGCGCGTTCGTTCCTGCAGAACCTGACAAAGTTTGAACTCAAACCGCTTTGCACCGTGGAAAAACGTTTTTAATTGTTTTATACCGTGACAAACCGTTACAAAAGTTCGAGCTTTCAGTCAGGTTCGGCAAGAACGAACGCGCCCTTAGGCTTCAGGCTCAACCTTACCTGAGGCTGAGGTTCTAAAATTCGCTTTTTGGCTTGTTGTGCGGAGGCTCGGATAATATGTTCGTTTGGCTACCTGCACCTGGCGCCACGTCACAATCACAACCCCAAAAAGGTCGCCGGTGAGTGTAGATGCTTTGCCACGTCATGGAAAGGGGAAGCTGCTGACAGGCCTTGGGACGGTGACGTGACGCGTGCGGCTCTGCTGGCAGGACCCAACGAGAGTGTCCTGATTTAGGTACTTTCGCTATGCGTAATGAGTAAATTACTGAATATGGGATAAACTATCCGCAATCCCAAAGCCAAGTCATTTCTTTCGAGAAAGGGTTTTTCACGAAGACCAGAATCTCGTTTTGCTCCCGCTTTCAGTTGGAGCAAGCTTGGCAATGCCCTGGGAACTTCCTCTGTTCTCCGTTGCTCCCCCTTCCGCTAGTGCGCGCAATTCATTTTGCGCCAGCGCCCTCCCCCCCATCCCCGCCTTCTCCATCTCCTCCTCCTCCCTCCCTCGCTACCTCTTTTTCCTCCCCACCTCCTAATCTGTCTCTCCTTTTCTCCCACCATGGTACGCCTCCCTAAACGCTTCACCTTTAGTAGTTTTACTAAGCCGCGCCGCGTTATTCTTTCACTGCAAGCTATTACGTTGCGAGTCTTGCGCGCTTATTTCTGACTTACATCCGATTAGTCCCAGCTCCTAGTAGCTGACGCCTATCGTCGTTTCACCGCCATTCAGTGATCAAGTACAGACTGAGTCGACTCATCCGTTCGTAGCGAGAATGAATTGTTCTGTTCTGAGTCTCCCATGTTCTTCTCCCCTTGTCCGCCTCCTCCCGCCGCTGTCCCCGTTTCGTCACCTGCCGTACTCCTCTTCAACAGGCTCCGAAGAAGGACGCAAAGGCCGATAAGGCTCAAGCCAAGCCCGCCAAATCCGGAGGCGGCAAGCAGAAGAAAAAGGTTCGTTTTGTTACACGTTTCGTGCCACCAAATCTGCTCCTCTCCGTGTTATCCGCAGCCGAATTTCCCGAATCTGAACGTGCGACTTTCCCCGTTTCTTCCTTCTCTTCGCCTTTGTTCGCTTGCTGTACTCCTGCTTTCCTCTTGCTACCTTCCTGTACCTACTCCACGATCATGCAATGTAGCGAGGGTTACGACGGGTTGCACCGTTTCCTGACGATCCCCATAAGCTCACATGGACCGCGGGTGACGTTGCGTTCATTATGCCATGCCCAGATTTTGGCCGATAAGTTCCTTTCCGCCCAGTACGCGAAGCTGATGCAAGGGATGGAGACACTAGTGTGTTCCGGGAAGCTGAATTCGCAGCGGTGGGGACACGATGAAATTAGGGTTTCGAGGGGCCTTCACCTTGTAGCCACAGAGGATCGCGTAATAGAACAGTCTCTCGCGGTTCCCTAGCTTCAAGCAGCAGTAGCGGTTACCCGGTTCCGAACGGTGGAGTGTGTGCCGCAGTCACCTACAGACAGTGCAGGGATCACTTAGGTTATGTTGTCGTTCCGCTTCTTGCGGGTATAAGCCTGACTCGCTTATTTGTCTTCGCTTAGGGGACGAAGGATATTCCTATGGCGTTCCTAGCAGCCCACGAATCTTCTCTTCCTTCGCAATGCTTGGCATTGCGTAGCATCGCTTGGCAGTGCTTGCCGGGACTAGTTCTTCGTCCCTGAGCAGAAGCGGAGCAAGGGAAAGCAGAGGGTGGAGAACACGGTGTTGCGTCGTTTTATAACAGTTTTTTCTCCACGTTTTCGTCTGCCCCCTGAGCAGAAGTGGAGCAAGGGAAAGCAGAAGGAGAAGGTGAACAACATGGTGCTGTTCGACCAGGCCACGTACGACAAGATGCTCTCCGAAATCCCCAAGACCAAGCTCATCACCTCCTCCGTGCTCTGCGACCGCCTGCGCGTGAGTACTTACTCTCTGCTTGTTGTGCAATCGCCTGCGCGTGAGTAGCTCGCTTTTTGAACTCCTTCTCTCTTCCCATTGTGACGCTTCGTTGTCAATCCCTGCTTTTCTTTCTTTCGCCTGTAGGTATGGAGTATTTAATGCTCGCTGAGCAGCACTCACCCTGCTTACTTCTTCTGGCCCTTTTCTTTCTCTTCTTCCCTCTTCCGTCTCCACTTGATTGTGGAGTTCACTCCTCGTATGTCAGGGCAAGCAACGTTCTTTAGCGTGTATTCCTGCTCGCCTTTAACTGTTGCGGTGAGCTTATCAAGATAATGTTGTTATCCATTTCCCCCAATCCAGATCAACGGCTCCTTGGCTCGGCGGGCCATCAAGGACCTGTTGTCGCGAGGCAGCATCCGTGTTGTGTCCACGCACGCCACACAGTGCATCTACACCCGCGCCACCAACACGTAAAATTGTAGTTTACTGTCCATGGAGGCTTGGGATGGTGCATTTCCTTGACTAGCTCTGTGTATTAGCCTGTCATTTCCATCGGTGTACCTCACATTTGAGTGAAGTGCTAACTGTTAGCAGCAGCTTCCCCCCTTGTTTGGAGAATGGATGGAAATGGTGGCTTGTCAAGAGATAGCCGGGCTGATGGCTCAATGAAATTGAACTTGAAAATTGAACTTACTACATTTATACAAGTGGAGAAAAAAACCACTAAAGATATTCACAAGATCGGTGTTTGAAGTGAAAAAATCACGAGAGAGATTCACAAGATCGGAGTTTTGCGGTGGGTAGAGCTTGCCCTGGTCTGAGCACGTAGCAGAATCGTGTATATCGGGAATATTTGAACGCTGGTTGTGAGTCGTTTTTTCACCAATCGTGGCACTCAGATTGTCCAGCTTGGCAGGGGCGCAATCCATCATCCTCACGAAAAGCTTTCGCTAGTCAATTCGCATGGTTCGAGGGCCTTGCGCGTCGAGTATGTGGTTACTGGCATATGCGTCAGCCAACCAATCACAAACAGTCCAGGGAGGAAAGTCCATCTCGTTCGTCGCCGCCGGTGTGACAGCACACATCCACACATTTGGCGACAGCCCATGCGAGACCTCGAATTGCCAGACGGCTGCAGGTTACCAGCTGAGAGCTCACTGAGTTCTTTTCGCAATCACGAGTATTCGTCGAGCCAGTTGGCTGACATTCTGCCGTTGGCGTGCATGCAGCGGCCATGGATAACAGCAGGAATCCTTATCTCGTCCAATCCCATGAAGCCATCACATTCTCTGTTCCATTCCATGGCTCCACATTCATTTCACCTCTCCTCTCCATAGGTCCTCCCAGCCCGTCCCATGACTTCATGGGAATGGCATGGTCAGTAAAACTGGTCAGGCTATCTTTCCTCTGGTTTTCTCTTGTCCTCTCACTTTTCCACAAGGTAACCCACAGCACACAGTTAGCATGGCCAACAGCCTAGTTCACTGTTGACCAAGGTCATGCGGCGTTTCGAGCCTTTGAGATACGCGTATCGAGCAACGTCGCGTGGAGTTTCCTACAAAGATACTCGTTAGTCGATTGTTCCGATATAGTGCTGTGCACGGCGCGTATACAATTGCTGGCTTGCATGGCCAAGTGGTAACCATAGTCGGTATACGAAAAAGCGGTATAGAATTCAACTTTTCCACCAGATAAGCATCCGGACAGGTTCTTGGAACGACTTCGAGCATCCTTTTAGGTTTTCGAGTCGGTGCTTCAATATTCGCACACGCCATGGGAAGGACCATTCCCGAGTCTGCGAAGAGCCCCGTGCGAGTTCCTGCGGGTAACCACCTCTCCCGCATCGCCGACCACTCGTCGCCGTGCGACGGTCTTCCTGCGACGTCTGAGTCGGATGCGTGCGATGGCGACTGCCGTGCTGCGAATATGTCGCCTCAAGCGATTACGAACGCGAAGCAAGTGCAGGCGCAGAGGCTGAGAGACTTGCAGTTACAGAAACCGGTCTTGCTGTCACAGAGACCAAGGGAATGGCAGGCCGACAGTTTGAAAGATTCTCAAAATGCACACGGGCCCCTGCCGGCAGTCACGGCGCGCCTTCCGCGGCGTTCAACGGCGGTTTCTGAAGCGTCTCCGTGCACGGGGCCGCCGCCGCGCGTCGCTCATCCGACGTGGCAGTCGCTGCGGTTGTCGCAGCAGGTGCGGCCGTCGCAAGCAGGAGAGCAGCAAGAGCAGCATGCGGACGAGCGTCTGTCGCATCTGTCGCACATGGGCTTGCGCGATTCTGCGACGGCGCACGGCGCGCAGCGAGGCGAGGACGTAGACGGGAAGGAATCCGAAGAGGAGGAGGGAAAGGATGAGAAAGGCGAGGGGAAGGAGGAGAAGGGGCATGCCGATGGTTGGGAGGCGGAAGTGGAGGAGGAGGCAAAGGAGCAAGTTATCACGCCCGCCTCCCCATCCTCCCCATCCGCCCTCTTGTTCTTTCCCCTCTCTCCATCCCCCCTCTCTCCATCCCCCCTCCCTCCATCCCCCCTCTCCCGTCCCCCCCTCTCTTCATCCCCCCTCTCTCCATCTTACCTCTCTCAATCCTTCCTCTCCCGCTTCCCCCTCTCCCATACCCCACTTAACCCGTCGTTTCTCCCCCCATCGCCCCTTCTGCCAACTCCCCTTCCGCCAACTCCCCTTCCGCCAACTCCCCTTCCGCCAACTCCCCTTCCGCCAACTCCCCTTCCGCCAACTCCCCTTCCGCCAACTCCCCTTCCCCCACCCTCATCCGCTTCCAGTAGTTTCCGCCAATCCGGCCTCACGACGCCGCCCCTCCCCCCTTCATGCGCGAGCCTTCCCCCTGCCTGCGCGAGCCTCCCCTTTCCGTGCGCGAGCGTTCCCGCTGCTTGCGGAATCCCATCCCCCCGTCCCTCTCGCTTTCGGCCTTCGTCAGCGGGAGGTATATTCCCTCCATTTCCCGCTGATTCACCTTCCCCTGCTTCCCCTGCAGCTGCTGCTGCTGCCACTGCAGCTTCACCTGCTGCTGCTTCTGCCCCGAAAAAGCCAAGCGCCAGCGCCAATCGCGGCGGATTGTCTGCTGCTCTGCAGCCGTTGCTGCCCGAGACAGGTTCTGAGCTGGCAACAGGCGCTGACCTGGCAGCAGCTGCTGATCTGGCAACTTGCGCTGAGCTGGCAGTGCCAAGTGAAGCGCCAGGCAAGCACAGAGACGCACGTGGCTATCAGGCCAGCCCGTCACACCCAGCTCACTTTAGCAGCACTCATGGTTCCGAGATGTTCCAATACAGTAACATTCGTTACAAGCACCACTGCTACAGTCCCCATAAAATCAGCACTGCATGTGACCATAGTGAGGAGCTGTCAGCGTCTTTTCACAGCTCGCCCCTCGTTAGTAGCACAAGCACACCATTTCACGTGAGCTCAAGCATTAGGACATATCCGCGTTATAGTGCTGTCAGCAATCTGGGACCTTTGATTTCCGGTCCGAGTGTTCAAAGCCGTCCGATCGATACCTTCGGGCCTGCAGAATCTACGGCACAGATTCGTCTGAGATGTTCCGAACCTGATGTGTCGTTTTCCGGTTCGGCCGTTCCAGCACCTTTCCCGTCCACTCCCTTTGAACGCCACGTTAGCAGCTGCCGCGTCAGCTCCACGTCAGCATCAGCCCCGACAGTCAACGACCTCTTTTTCCACCGCTGGCTCGCTTCCAGGGCTGCCACGTCAGCCAATACCACGTCAGCAGGTGTCACGTCAGCTTGCAGCGAGGAGAGGAGTCGCGAGCGGAAATCGCTGCTGAAACGGTCGCTGGTTGGTTCGTTCGAAGAGTCGCTGATGTGGCAGGCTGCTATTGGGCAGGAGGAGGGCAGCGGGGTAAAGGTGAGTGATGGTGTATTACCTGGGAGAGGGAAGAAGGTGAGGGGAGTGAGGGGAGTGAGGGGAGTGAGGGGAGTGGGGGGGGTGAGGGGAGTTGGGGGGATGTCGGGGTGAAAACGTGTGGGCTAAAAGAGTTGTTCCCTTGTGTTTCTATGATTTTATCTATCTACCTAACTTCACTATCCACCCTATTCCCCCTATCCATCCTGTTCCCCCTATCCACCCTATCCCCCCCCTGCAGTACATCAGCGGGTTTAAAGCCATGCTAGACGTGCTGTCACAGCAAGGAGAATGGACAGCTGACCCTGTGCGAACCACCTTCTCAGCCTCCTTCCTGCCCTCCTGTTCCTCTTCCCCCTCGCCCCTCTGCTTCTGTGGTTATATCCCCCTTGTTCCCAACACGGCAGTACATCAGTGGGTTTAAGGCCATGCTAGCGTGCTGTCACAGCAAGGGGAGTGGACAGCTGACCCTGTCCGAACCACCTTCTCAGCCGCCTTCCTGCCCTCCTCTTCTTAGGCAGTTTGATTTGATTTATTTGATTTATCTTTACACGGCAGTACATCAGTGGGTTTAAAGCCATGGTAGCAGTGCTGTCGCAGCAAGGGGAGTGGACAGCTGACCCTGTCCGAACCGCCTTTTCAGCCGCCTACCTGCCCTCCTGCTCCTCCCCTCGCCCCTCCCTCTCTATCCTCCCCACGGCAGCACATCAGTGGGTTTAAAGCCATGCTAGCCGTGCTGTCGCAGCAGGGAGAATGGACCGCCGACTCTGTGCGAACCACCTTCTCAGCCTCCTCCCTGCCCTCCTCGCCGTCTCAGCTGTATGCTGCCAGCATTGCCGTGGGGGGCGGGCAGGGGGCGGGGGAGAGTAGAGGCAAGGGAGGGGGAGTGGCGGGGCGGGAGGAAACAGACAGGGGCAGGCAGGCTGGTAGGGCTGCTGCTGAATCTTCCAGTGCGGTTCTCAGTGCTGACGGCCTCAGTTGTGGCAATCGCACTGCGCCTATTGCAGTGGATACAAGAGTCGCGGGTAGGCGCAAGGAAACTCGCAGGGAGCTGCTGTTTGGAGTGGAAGGGGGGACGGGGGCAGAAGCGGCAGCGGCAGCCAATGATCGGACTGAAACGAGCTTGTATGGGGATATCCAAAAAGCGGAAACGGATGGGCGGAAGCAGCAACAGCAACAGCAGCAGGAGCAGGAGCAGCAGAGGCAGAAGCAGAGGGCGAGAGTGCGGGTTCCGACGAAAGGGCGCATTCAGCTGCTGCTGTCGAACCCTGAGGGCACACCCATCCACACCTTCTCCTGCTCCTATGATCTCTCTGACATGCCGCCCAACTCCAAGGTGAGAGGCGTGGTGTGAGACATGGTAGGTGGGTTGAGTTGAGGTGAGGGTGTGTGCAATTCCCCATCCACACCTTCTCCTGCTCATACGACCTCTCTGACATGCCACCCAACTCCAAGGTAGGTTATGTGTGAGAGAGATGGGAGGTGAGTTGGGGTGAGGTGTGCGCAATCCCATCCACACCTTTTCCTGCTCTTACGACCTTTCTGATATCCCGCCCAACTCCAAGGTGAGTCTATCCCTGCTGTGGAATCTTGAAGGAGCGTGGGGTTTTATGGGTGTGCACTTTTGAGGCTGCAGATTGTTTTTTAGAATTCTCAAAAACAATCTGCAGCCCCAAAAGACACTTCACCATCCACACCTTCTCCTGCTCCGGCGATCTCTCTGATATGCCGCCCAACTCCAAGGTGAGAAAGGAGATAGGTGAGAGGGGAAATGTCTTTTGGGAGAGGACATCCTGGAGTTTCATTCCTCTCCTCTCGTTTTTCCCGAGAGGTGAGAGGAGTTGCTTAAAGCGTTCTTCCCTCTCCTCTCGCCCCTCTCGCCCTTCTCCCCATCTCCCTCTCCATCTCGTGCGCTCCTCTCCATCTCGTCCCCTCCTCCCCATTTGGACAGACCTTCATTCGCCAGAGAACGCTGCTTGCACCCAAGCACACTGCCGCGCCCTTCCAGGAAGCGTCGGGCTGCTTAGAGCTTCAAACCCCTCCTCGTTTGCAGCAGCAGCAGCAGCAATCGAGTCAAGGAAACACGCAGGTGCAGCAAGAGGAGGTGCAGTCTGGGCCAGTAAGAGCAGTGATTCACCTGCAGTTCCAGTGCCTGCCCAAACCACGCCGCTCTGCTGCTGCTGCTTCTGCTGCTCTTGGTGGTGTTGGTGATGGCGCCACTGCTACTGCTGCTGTTGCTGGTGCTGCTGGCGGTGGTGATGCCGCTGCTGCTGCTAGTGACGGTGGTCATGTTGATGGTGGGGAGGTGCAACGGGAGGGGCAACGGGAGGGGCAACGGGAGGGGCAACGGGAGGGGCAAGGGGATGTTCAAGGGGAGGGTTTAAAGGGATCCCGCAAACACAGGCGTGAGGGCGGTAGGGAGCGGAGAACTCGCCTGTTCCTGTGTGGGGACGTGCGGGTGGTCTTCCCTCTCTCTGCTCCTACCTCTGACAACCTCAAGGTGAGCACCTACCTCTATCTTTGCACCTTAAGGCTTGCTCTGCTTCATTCCGAGGTCCATCCAGCAATCACGCGAGGGCTGTAGCGGGAAGAGTGTGACTCGCCTGTTCCTGTGTGGGGACGTGCGGGTGGTCTTCCCTCTCTCTGCTCCTACCTCCGACAATCTCAAGGTGACTCTGGCTCTATCCCTTTCTGGTTTCCTGTGCTTCTGATAAGGTCCCTCCAGCTTTCGCTTAAGGGCTGTAGACTGTAGTAGGGAGAATAAAGGACCCGCATGTTCCTGTGTCCGTGGCGATGTGCGGCGGGCCTCACCCATTCTTCTTGCTCTCTTTTGAGACGTCTCAAAAGTTGTTCCTGTGTGCGTGGCGATGTGCGGCAGGCCTCACCCATTCTTCTTGCTCTCCCCGTTACAGAGTACCAGCTTCCGTCCAACCCGCGTTTCTTCCCATGCTGTTGACACGTACACTTCTCCGGTCACAGATGCTTAAAGCACAGCCCCTGAATTGCGGAGGAGCCTTCACAAACTGGGCCCAGTTTGTGTCTCGCCCCTACTGGGTACAGGGAAAAAGGGTTTCGGGACTTTTCCGAACCTCCAACTGCCTGCCTTTCCGAAGCTGTTTTAGGGGCGTTGACTTCGTTGAGCAATTTGGGTGTTGCCCTTTAAGGCAGCTCCAAGCGAGGTCAGATGGAGGCACATGAAATATACTAGCATCTCATCTAGGTTCGATGCTCCTCAGGCACAGAACGGATTGTTTGCCAGCAACCTCTGCATCTTCTGGACAGACTATCAGGTCTGCATTCTCGTCTGTACATAACCTGGTGTCACCTATTTTACCCCAGTGACATATGGATACTGTGTGCTGTACCCAATGCAACCCCTGAACTGGTATGGCTGAATAGCATGTGTTTGCTCTAGTTGTGAGGTTCCTACGTTCAACGTCCTGACCTGGAAAGAGGTTTTATGGGTGTTGCAGTATGATATAGTACGGTTCATAAAGTTGGCAGCCCCAACAGCCGAAACATTTCTCAAGCTTTATACGGCCCAACCCAAACACATGCTATCGAGGATCAGAATGGCGAAGCCGAGCTGACAGTTCAAGGGCGCATTTGGTCGGGACTTCAAGAAGGCTCAGCCCAACCTAGTTATGGGACACAAGGCCCCGTCGAGATCACTGACACCTCCGTGAGATTGGGATGTTGGTGTCAGGTTGGCTGTATGTACTAGCCCTCAAATCTCAAACCTTGGGCCGCCTGCCGCCTTTTTCTTTTGCAATGCTGCATTGGGCGGCCGATTTCACGTGGCCATATGCTGACATGGCCTGCTTTTTTGTGCCACCACTTACAATTCGCCTACGTGTTCACGCGTCATGCGGTGGCGAAAGTGTCGAGGCAATGAAAAGGCCAGGTAGGCTTCGATTACCCAATGAAGGGCTCTCCTGAAATCACGTGCTTTTCTGAAAGCAAGAATCTTATGGGCGCGTACACGTCAGTTGTGGATGAGGTAAATGGCTTCCGAGAATGGCTGCCCAGATCTACGTTTGGCTTCCACTTTGTTCCGTTCCGCTGCGGGCAGGCCTCCCTGAAAGGATCCCGTAGCGATACAGGGGCATGCATGAGGCCTGGGCTCCTGAAAAGGCAACCAGAAAAGTTGTGATCGCGTCGCTCCAAACATCAAAACATAGATCAGGGCATCGAATCTTAGCCCTCCAATACAAGGTGGAGCTTCCCGAAATTCCTTTTGTTCGTCCGATCAATCTCAGCCAGTCCACGTGCTCCTCCTAGCTGACCAGTTACAACACCTCAAAGTTCCTCCCCTCGTTATGTTGCTACTGATTCCGCTCCGCTCCGTTCCCTAGGGTTTATACGTTGCCTTGAGTTGTGCCGCTGGAGCTTCCGGGGCTGGAGAGTCTCCGGGCTGGAGAGTTCAAGGGTGGTTGGACTACCTGGGTTATACTCAAAACTGGGCGATTCCTCATCCTCTTCAGCGCAACTTTCTTGCTTGTTATCCTGCTCTTCTCTTCAGTGTCGTCAAATACTAGGCTCATTTTACGCCAGGGTTTTGGATAATACTTGTAAGGCTACAAAAATATTAATAGATTTCGTGAGAAATAGTCGTATCTACTTCGCCTAAGCAAAGAAAAATCGTGCATTCTCGTTCAACAGCCCGACAATTCTAAGAGCACTTTGCAGCATTCTTCCCACAGCGTAGTATGGTATTTTAGTGTGAAGAGAAGGACGTGTTCCAGATTCCTCTCATTGTCATCACCCCTACATTTGGTTGCTATGGCTAATCTCACTTCAGTGTAAGGTGAAGTTTAGGTTCTCACATTTCCATGCATTCACCTGCTCCTATTCGTCTCACCGAGTAAACGCAAGCCTGAATTCCATTTGGCTCCGTTTTTCTTTAATTATGCAGCAATCCGCGTAAATTTGGTCATTGTGGGGTTTTTATGGTTTGTTTCAGGGCTTCATGAAGACATGATTCCGACGAAATGTTCGTCATAGCTAACGAGGGTGGCGGTGGTCCGGGTCTTGTAAATACGGGTCAGGTTGACGCCTGCCGTCAAGCGGCGCAATTGTCCGATTATCAGGTGATTTACTTGTCGTGTAGGACAACATTTTCTTCATGCTGCTTGCCGCTTCCGCGATCGTGCATCGAACCCCGCGTTTGTCCAGTCGATCTCGTTTCCACAAATAATAATAAAAAAAACCAGTGCTGTCCTTGATTGAAATAGCATTTTGACTTCCATATCTGTCCGCTCGTTCCGCAGGTTTCGAAGCCACAGGAATTTGTCTCGCCTCCCGATCGTACTTTAGCAATGGCATCAGGGCAATCAAGGACACACGTAGACACTTTAGAAGACCAGCTTAGCGCTCTAGACCACCGCTCTTTCACCTCCGCATACCCCATGAGTGACGGAAACCGGACATGGCACGGCGGAAACCTCTTTTACACCCTTCAAGCTCAAAATGCTTTCCAGGCCGAAACCGCGCACCAGGCTCGAACCTCTTTCCAGGCTCAGAATGTCGCGACTAGGACGGTCTCGGTTGACGACATAGCTATTCCGGCTGCTGCGTATCGCAACCATCTCCAGCAGCACGGCGGGGAGATCGGAGGCCAAATTTCGACCGCCCGTATGGATCGTACTTTTGGCGGTCAGCAGAATCAGGCGGTGTTGTCGGGTCACGCCGGCGGTTTCAACGGTGGATGGTCAGACGGGAAGGGCAGTGGCGATACGGTGGCGACGACTTACGATAACGCAACGGCTTCAGGGTTGATCGACAGTAGGCTCGAAGTTCCCCGTTTGCCGCACAGCCGCAGGAACGGCGTCGGCTTGTCAAGGGGTTTGGCGCGAGAAAGCCAGGCGTTTGCGCTGCACGGAGGCGGCGAAACCCCGATGGAAGGGGTGGAAAGAACTTCCGCCGCCGCCGATGCTGCTGCCTCGGGCGGTGAATGGGATGGGCGAAGCCAGGGAATAGATCTGACCCAAACCGCCTCTAGACTCGCTTTTCAGCAGCACGGATCGCTCGCGGCAGGCGAGGGTCGGTACACGGACCGAATCTCTCCCAACGCCTTGAATCAGACTCTCAGGTCGCCGCCTCAGCAGCATCTTCACTCAACTTACAGGCTCTCGCCTAACGCCCCGAATCAAACGGTGCGATCGCCGCCGCAGCAAAGGCTCCAGTTTCAGGGGTTGCAGTCAGCTGGGCAGACTCAACTAGCAGCCTTCCCTCACCGGTTATCGCCTCCCGCTGCTGCGTCTCCCCTCGGATCCCCGGGGTGGCAGCACCGGGCTAACGACAGCCTGTCGTCTGGTAACCAGTCCGCCGGTGGTTCGTCTGTGCAGTCAGGGGCAGGGTCCGCGAGCGCGGCATGTGGATCTCGACCGTCGCTGCCGCCGCGGTTGGACGATGCGGATCTTGCTAGCGTTCTGTGGGAGAGCCGGTCCAGGTGCAACGTATCTGGCGCTGGCGCTGGCGCTGGTGCTGCGAGTGTGTTGGGCGACCAGCAGCAGCGAGAGATGCAGGGAGATGGGAGCGCGCATGGCGGTCGAGTGGGTCGAGCAGACGGCAGCAGCGTGCATGGCGGCCAATTGTATCAACGAGAGGGTAGCATGCACGGCGGTCAGATGGGTCAACGAGAGGGTAGCGTGCACGGCGGTCAAATGGGTCAACGAGAGGGTAGCATGCACGGCGGTCAATTTAGTCAACAAGACGGCAGCGCGCATGGTGGTCAATATAGTCAACGAGACGGCAGCTTGCACGGCGGCGGTCAATATAATCAACAAGACGGCAGCACGCACGGCGGTCAGGCGATTCTGAGAGAGGGAAGTGTGCATGGCGGTCGAATAAGTAAACTGGGCGGCAGCACGCATGGCGGTCACATTAGTCAACGGGACAGCAGCGTGCATGGCGATCAGGCGATATTGAGAGAGGGAAGTGTGCATGGCAGTCAACTGAGTCAACCGGGCGGCAGCACACATGGTGGTCGTCAACTGAGTCATTTAGGCGGCAGCATGCATGGCGGTCAACTGTCTCACCTGGGCGGCAGCATGCATGGCGGTCAACTGTCTCATCTGGGCGGCAGCACGCATGGGGGTCAAGCAAGTCAACCAGGCGGCAGTGTACACAGCGAAACTGTCCCTGCATACACCGACAGCCAAGCACGTAGTGACCACTTATCCCGCTTACAAGCTAGCAGCAGCGTGCACGGCGGCGGCTTCTACGCCAGCGGCCTTGCCTCGGGCGGTCTCTATGGCAGCGCGCTTCATTACCCCAGGTCCAGTGTCCAGAGCACATGGGGCAGCGTGCAAGGCAGCGCGCAAGGGAGCAATGAGGTCAGAACGGGCGTCTTTAGATTCGGAAGCGACATACAGAGGGGCACTGCGCCCCGCGCGAGTACGGTTCACGGTGGCAACCTGTACGCCGCGAGCTTACTCGCCTCTGATAGCTATGATGGCCGGCGTCTGCGCGTTAACGGCCGTCAGCAGGACCGTCAACAGGACCGTCAGCCGAACGATCAGCAGAGCGGCCAGCAGGGAAGATCGAACGCGATGGAGAGCTTTCTCGGGAAGGTAGATTCGATGGAGGAGAGCTTGCAAGCGAAGGCGAACGTCTTTAATGGCTTGCAGCAGGCGGGTGGGAGTGTGTATCAGGACGATGGGAGCGTGCACAAAGCGGGTGGGAGCGTGCATCAAGCAGGTGGGAGCGTGCACAAAGCGAGTGGGGGTGTGCTTCAAACGGATGGGAGCATGCATCAGGGTGATGGGAGCGTGCATAAAGGGGTTGGGAGTGTTCATCAAACGGAAGGGAGCGTGCACCAGGCCGATGGGAGCGTGCACAGCGTGGGCGTGGGTGCCAGTGCTAGTGTCCTCGCCAAGCTGCGCCTGGAAGGCGGAGATCGGTTGAATGCGGTGTCTGGGAGTTCGGAGGGTGCTGTGCGTGGTGGTGGCCTTTTTGGGAGTGTGTTTGGCCCGGGGTTCGGCCCTGGGGCGGGGTTTTCCGGGGGAGGGTTTTCTGGTGCAGGCGTTTCAGGGACGGGCGTTTCAGGGGTGGGATCTTGCGCGGCCAACGAGGGGTTTACGGGAAGTGTGTGGGAGCGAGGGTCTGGGGCTGCTGCTGCTGCTGCTGCTGCTGCTTCTGGTCTTGCTGGAGCTGTTGACGCTGCTGGTGCTGGTGGGTTCAACAGCCACTCGGATTCGGGAAAGGCGTTCTCATCAATCCATGGGCACGGGCAAGAGCAAGCACATGGCAGTAGGCAAACAACAAACCCAGGGGTAGTGGCTGAGAACAGCAGCGTGAAGGTAGAAGCTCACGCAACCACTAGAGAGGACCTAGACTCGGAGAGGAATAGGGGCATGGGGAGAGGTGGCGAAACGGAAGAGGCGAAGGGCATGGAAGGAATGGAGGGAGCAGCGGACGCGTTGAAAGCTGACGCAGTAACTGCAGATGCGGTAACAGCAGATGCGATAACAGCAGATACGGTAACAGCAGCGGCTGAGGATATGGGGTTTGACGCCCTGGCGGAGTATTTAAACTTTCCTGACGATGACCCCCAGTGGTCAAGTCTTTCGGGCTGGGATGAGCTGATGCTTGGGGGAGGATTGATAGGCGACGGAGAGGCAGGCGCGGAAGGAGGATGGAGTGGAGCAGGGGCAGGAGCAGGAACAGGAGCAGGGGCAGGAGCAGGAGCAGGGGCAGGAGCAGGGGCGGGAACAGGCGTAGACGCAAGGGAGGAAGTAGAAGGAGGGGCAGCGGCAGGTCTGGAAGGAGGCTTGGCTGCCGATGCTGGAATGGTTGCTGGTACGGCAGGAGGGGGTACGGATATGGAGGGAACAGAGGATGACGTCATGTGCCGCGGGCACTTAGCACTGACTTCTGACGTGTGCGTGGTGGCATGCTCATGTCTCTGCTGGCTGACGTCACAAGGCTTGGAGGAGGGGGCAGTGGAGGAGAGGGAGGGGAGGGGCAGGCTGGTGCAGGGCAATTTGATAGCTTGGATGGGGAAGGGTGGTATGAAGCGGGAGCGGTTTCTGCTTCTGCAGACAGCAGCGGCGCTACAACCGGCAGTGCTGACGCGTCAGCTAGCGCGGGCGCTACAGCTAGTGCTGACGCGACTGCCAGCGGTGACGTGGACAGCGGCGACGTCAGCGCTGGGGATGAGGACAGGCGCGGATTGGCTCAGCAAGGAGACGTGGGGGAAGAAGCAAGGCCGCATAATGGTGGGGCGTCAGGGCATAACGATGTGTACAGTCACCAACAGCATGCTCAGAGCTTTGCAATCGAAAGGCACAGCCACAGCCACAGCCAAATTCACAGTGACCACAATCACAGACCCAGTGGCACATTTGGCACCAGTCAAAAGCACACGGAGCAGGGGTGGAGAAAGCAGGATGTAGCAGCAGAGATCGGGGCGGGATTAGAGGGATGTTTAGAGGAAGTTGAGCCTTCCAGTGCAGAGTTGCTGAGAGAGGGGTTTGGGTTTGATGCTGCAGCAATGGACTTTCTCGAACAGAGAGAGCTACTCTTGCTGCTTGAACAGCAGCAGCAGCAAGAACGGCAGCAGCAAGCACAACAGTGGCAGCTGCAGCAGCAGCAACAGCAGCAGCAACAGCAGCAGCAACAACAGCAGCAACAGCAGCAGCAACAACAGCAGCAGCAGCAGCAGCAGCAGTGGCAGCGACAGCAACTGCAGCAGCAACAACAACAGCAACAACAGCAGCAGCAGCAGCAGCAGCAGCAGTGGCAGCGACAGCAACTGCAGCAGCAACAACAACAGCAGCATCAGCAGCAGCAGCAGCAGCAGCAACAACAACAGGAACAGCAACAGCAGAAACAGCAACAGCAACAGCAGCAGCAGCAGCAGCAGCAACTGCTGCAGGAAGAGCAACAGCAGAAGCAACAGCGATCGGGTGTTGGGACCACTGGAGGGCAGATGGGGGGACAGATGGGGGGGCAGGTTGGGGGGCAGATGGGGAGACAAATGGGAGGGCAAGTGAGATCCGCCCCCATGCTTCCATCCACTGTGCTTCTCCCTGCCTGCATGCAAAGCAAGCCAGACGCCACTGCCGCTGCCACTACCCATGCCGCTGCCGCTGCTGCTGCCGCTGCCAATGCCAATGACGCTGCCGCTGCAACAGCTACTGCCCATGCGAATGCGCCCTTCTCCCCATCCTCCACCAACCAATCACAAGCAGCCTCTCCGTTCAGCACCTCCCCTGCCTCTGCTACATCCGCTGCTGCTCGTGCTACAACCCAGGACCTGGGTATGACCGTCCCTACTGCTAAAACCACCCCTTCCCACTCCCCCCAAAGTGTCGCCCGTTCGTCCAGTCTCCCCCCATCCGGTTCATTGCTCCACAACAATAATAAAAAGGCAGCAGCAGCTACAGCTGCTACAGCAGCAACAGCAGCAGCAGCAGCAGAAGCAGGAGAACCGAGACAGTGCAGGAAGTGGGCGGAGCAGGAGGAAGGGGGAGCGGCGGAACCGGGGGGGTAGGAGACGGAGGAGGAGCAGCAGGCGGAGGGGGAGGAGGAGGGGGAGGAGGAGGAGGAGGAGGAGGGGGAGGAGGAGGGGGTAGCAGCTGCAGCTCGGGCAAAAGCAGCAGGAAATCCAGCCCAGGCCTTCGCACAGGAAGCAAGAAGGCAACAGGAAAGGCAGCGGGAATGGGCCTGGGCGTGAATGTGGGCACGGGGGCGGGCACAGGGATGAGTATGGGGGGTATAGCAAAACCAGGTCCCTTCAATGGTGGGGTATCAGGCCACTCTAATCGTGGTTACTACTGCATGGGAGGGAGGGGTTGCACCGGCGGCCCCTCCTGCCACCACAACCACGTGCCTCCGGCTCTTTTCATGATGGCAGCGGCAGCAGCAGCAGGGACAGGGATGATACCCATGGGTGCCGTGGGTGCGTACAGGCAGCAGCTGCAGCTGCAGGGGAGGCTGGTGAAACGGGTAGAGCCTCCTGTGAAGAGGAAGCGGGGGAGGCAGAAGAAAGTTCCTTCGAAGAATGGGCCGTGTGGGGCGACGACGAATCTAAGAGCGCTGGTTCCGAGGTCTATGTCCGGGGCAGGAGGAGGAGGAGAGGGGGCAGGAGGAGGAGCAGGGGCAGCGGCAGGGAGAGTGGGAGGAGGAGGAGCAGCAAGCGTGGGTATGCAAGCTGGGAATGCTGGGGCGATAGCAGCAGCTGCAGCAGCAGCAGCAGCAGTCAAGAGCAACCCAAATGCAGTTTATACAGACTCTCCCTCCAGGCCCACCCACTATATTCCCGCACCAGATCATACCTGCCCCTGTTGCTTCCCACCTGCCTCCCAGTGCATCAGGTGTATCCCCAGGTGCTGCAACAGTGCCCATGTTCTGGGGGCCTGTGGCATGGATACACCCCTCTGCTGCTGCCGCTGCTGCTGTTACTGCTACTGGTGGAGGTCCCTCACCTATGCTTGTGTCTGGTGGTCATGGCATGCCGATGCCTCTGCACATGCAGCAGGCAGGGATGGGAGGTATGGCTGGGATGGCAGTGGTTGGGGGGATGGGTGGTGCTGCTGGCATGGGGGTTGGGATGATGGTACCGGCAGGGGGAGGGGAGCATGGGGTAGCGGGAGTGGGTAGTGACGGCAGGATGCATGGAGGGCTGATGGCGAGTGGAATGACCCAACCGGATGGGACACCATGATGTTGAGAGTCATGCATCATGAGGTGCTGCCATGGGGGTTGGGATGATGGTGCCGGCAGGGGTAGGGGGGCATGGGGTAGGGGAAGTGGTGAGTGGTGGTAGGGTGCATGGAGGGTTGATTGCAAGTAAGATGACCCAACCAGATGGGACAACGTGATGTTGAGGTTCGGAAAGCATACGGTGTAATATTTATTGATTCTAACTGATATTTATTCATCTCCAGTTGGTATACAAGGAACACAAAACTGTTGCCATATTTACACCTTGGGGGAGCTCTAGGTCAAGGCATACTTGCTACACCATACATTTAAACTCAATAACGAGTCACAAGGAGGGCTTGGTTCCATCAACCTCCCCATTGGAGAGCAAATGCGCCATGTAGTGCTGGGGGAACAAACAGGGCATGCGGTGGGTGGGGGATGGTGGAGTATGGAATGTGGGATAACGAGTCACACAATGCATGCGACCAAAAAACCAAGTCACAAGGAGGGCTTGGTTCCATCAACCTCCCCATTCGAGAGAAGGTGCGCCATGTAGTGCTGGGGGAAACACAAAGGGTATGCGGTGGGTGGGGGATGGTGGAGTGGGATAACGAGACACACAATGCAAGCGACTCAATAACGAGTCACAGGGAGGGTGTGGTTCCGTCAACCACCCCATTGGAGAGCAGGTGAGCCATGTAGTGCTGGAAAGACAGAAAGGGCAGATGGTGGGTGGGGGGGGTGGGGGTGGATGGTTGATGGTTGAATGTGTAACTGGCACACCATACATGCAACCCAATAACGAGTCACAAGGAGGGTTTGGTTTGTCAACCTCCCCATTGGAGAGCAGGTGCGCGGGATGGGAACACAAAGGGCAGATGGTGGGTGGGAATGGTCGGGGTGGATGGTTGATGGTTGAATGTGGAACGTGGAATTGCAACTGGCACACCATACATGCAACCCAGTAACGAGTCACAAGGGGGGCTTGGTTCCATCAGCCTCCCCATTGGAGAGCAGGTGTGCCATGTAGTGCTTGGGGATGGGAACACAAAGGGCAGATGGTGGGAGGGATGGTGGAGTGTGGATTGTTGATTAACAAGTCGTACCATACATGCAACTCTGTAACGAATCATAGGGAGGGCTTGGTTCCGTCAACCTCCCCACTGGGGAACAAAAAGGGAAGATGATGGGCGGGGATGGGGGGGGGTGGATGGTTGACGGTTGAATGTGAAACGTGGAATGCTACTGGGACACCATACATGCAACCCAGTAACAAGTCACAAGGAGGGTTTGGTTTGTCAACCTCCCCATTGGAGAGCAGGTGCGCAATGTAGTGCTGAAAGGTATGGTCAAGGATGGATGGCTGAGTAAGAGGCCCGGATCTAACATGGCAATATGGGTGGACGCAGGAAGGGAAGACGGATGACTGGCAGTCATTACAGCAGGCTAACGGGGAACTAATGATTTGGCAATGAATGCAGCGGGCTATGAGTAAGTGCCCGGGTCACTGACACACCTCCACTTCGCCTTGTGTCCCCACACCCAAGTCACTCACAGCATGGTAGGCGTATGCTCGCTGCCCCTGCCTCTCGTAGTGCTTCGCCAAAATGGTGAACTCCAAGGGACCCCATTCGGACTCTTCAAACACGTTCCCTAGAGCACGCTGGTATAGCTGAACAAGGGAAGACAGATAGCAGGAAGAGAAAGAGAAGAGGCAAACAAAGAAGGGTGTCGAATGGTGAACTCTAAAGGCCCCCAGTCGGACTCCTCAAACACGTTCCCCAAAGCACGCTGGTACAGCTGGGAGGGGGAAGAGAGGAGAAAAAGCAGAGGAACACGGAAGGCGGGAGACAGGGAAGTTTGGATAGGGCAAGTGTGTCCTTTTTGAAATCTTCAATAAAAGGCACGTTCCGCATGTGCCAAAACTAGTATGGTACATGCAAGTGCATGGTAGTGGTGTTGATCCTAGGGGTATTTCTTTGAGGAAAAACTATAAACAGGTCACCTTTGTGGTGTTCCAATGGGAGGTAAAAAAAAATCCTCACCTTTGTAGTGTCCACTAGAATTTCCGCGCCAGAAGCATACCCGCTGTAAGGCGTAGCCACCAGCGGCACATGCGCTCGAATGCTGGAGAGAGGGGGGATGAGAAGGAGGGGGGATATGTTGAGAGAAGAGAGTGCGAAGGAAAGAGGAGAAGGAGGTAGGAAACGACGATGGCAGGAAGGGCGAGAGAACCGAGGGCAGTGGCTTCGACGTACGCGATATTAGCATAGGTGTACGCGGCACACGCGGACGCGATATAGATCCCCGTGTAGAAGCCTAGCCGGCGGAAGCGGCGAATCTGCCAGATGGAGCCTTTCGGAGGAGCGCCGCTTCCACTTTGGTGCTGCTGACGTGTCAGTGAGCTAGCGGACATCGAAATGACACGCAGTACTAACGAAACCGCGATTTCAAGAATATTTGCTTCGAAGAGATTTGCTGGAAATCGCGATACTACTAGGAGAAAGCTACTGCGGAGACCGATTCGTTTCCAGGTGGAGGAAAGGGAAAAGCAGGGCAAAACAAGTAGTCATACAGAGGGCCTCGTTTCAGGCTTGTGTACAAAATTATCAAGGTTTCACAATCACCTGCGGAAGCAAATATATTAACGAAGAGAGTCTGTTGATGTTTATTTGTAATGACACATTCCTTGAGGCGGATTGTGAACTGAAACCGTCCTGAATAGCTCGATTTTATCACGAACGTCAGATTTTCCAGCTTCCATCACAGGTTTCCCGCCACGTGCCCGTTCGACCGCTCGCGATCCGACTAACTGTCCAACCCATGGAACGAAACGCCCCAGTTTCAGCCGAACCCAAAAATTTTGAGCCGACCGACCGAACCGTTTTAGAAAGTAATATACCGCTCTGACTACGTTTACTAAACCGTATCGAAGGAACTCCCGTGTCACGCCTTGGATGTTGAACACCATCAAACAATTCACCCACCATCCAGGAATCACTGGCCGTCAAGTTTGAGCTTGAACGTCAAGCTAAGCGGCCGAGGAGTTTCGCGAAGAACCACATGCTGCAGGTGGGTCCACCAGGCCTGTCCATTCACGGACATTTGTCCGTTTTCCCTGAGAATTTAAGGTTAGTATATTTTAAGCTCAGAAATTTTCAAAGGTTCTCCCTCGGCCCAAATTCCTAACGGACAGCATGGGAGGTTTGTAAAGTGCAGAGTGGGAAGGGGTGGAATTTCCCCGTCGTGGAAAATCCCTGGGAGAGGCAAAAAAGAAAAAGAAACAAGGAGGGTGTCTATATCGACAAACACGGTCATAAAAATACCTTTTTATAGCTTTGTTCTCGACAGTAGAACCTTCGTAAAACGGAGTCGTTAAGAAGATTGACCGTCGCGTGCTTGTACCCTGTTAAAAACACCTCTTTGAAAAGCGTAGCCCAACTAATTAATTGGCCTGGCTACGATTTCCGCTGGAAGCGCCGCCGTGTCTGATCCGCAAACCCGTCGAATTGTAAAGTGCTTTTCCACAAATGTGTCACTATATAGCGGGAAATCCTTGGGAGAGGTAAAGTTTCCAGTAAAGAGACAATTGCAAGGGTTGAAGGGCTATTCGGATGTTCGACAAATACCGTCATTGAAATACCTCGTTATAGCTTAGTTTTGGACAGTAAAACCTTCGTATAGCTGAATCGTTTCGAAGATTACCCGTCGTGTCACTTTACCTTGTAAAATACACACAGCCTAGAATCATAGCCCACTTAAGATTCCGGCCCGGCTATGATTCCCGACGCAAGCACCACCGTGTTTGATCCACGAACATGTGAAATTCGTTCGTGAAGTGCTTCTCCACGAATATGTCGCGGGAAATTCCTGGGAGAGGTAAAACTGTATAGTAAAAGCGATTTCAAGGGTTCGAAAGGATTTTCAGACGTTCGACAAACACCGTCATTAAAATACCTCGTTATAGCTTAGTTTCGGACATTAGAACCTTCGTATAGTGGAGTCGTTTTGAAGATTACTCGTCGCGTAAAATTACCCTGTAAATTACACCCGTTTTAGAATCATAGCCTACTAACGCAAGCACCACCGTGTTTGATCCGCCAACCTGTGAAATTCGTTTGTAAAGTGCTCCTCCACAAATATGTTACTGAAGAGCGGGATATTCCTGGGAGAGGTAATATTTATAGTAGAAACAATTTCAAGGGTTCGAAAGGATTTTCAGATGTTCGACAAACACTGTCATGAAATACCTCGTTATAGCTCACTTTCGGACAGTAGAACCTTCGTATAACGGAGTCGTTTTGAAGATTACTCGCCACGTAACTGTACCCTTTGAATTACACCTCTTTTTAAGTTTTAGCCCACCTAATTATGGGCAGCCTCGTAAGGGTTGGCCCTGCGCCAAGCGACAGCCCAGTCCACCAACCAACCATCCCCCAGGCTCCACAATCGCCAGGATCATCCACCAAACAGAATGGACACCATACTTCCAGAAGACCATTCTGAAACTTTGCAAACCACTCGACAACGCTTTTTACCGTGTTGAAGGTAATATCGAGGACTGCGTTAGTTGTGAAAGCCTCCAGCCACACATTTTCCATTTGTTTTCTCTTGACACTGAGAATGCCGATCTATGTTCAGGCATTCCAAAGAACAACGCTTTAGGGTGGTTGAGCTGAGGCTATTGCCGTCCTTAGTCGTCTGGAGGGAAAAGGCTTCATCATCTGTGGCCGTACGGGAGCTAGCTAGGCTTATCAGGAGTGATCGGATCCAGTGCGCCGGCTTCAATGCGTGTCGGCGAGTCGTGTTGTGATCTGACTACCGTCTAGATTCCGATTCTCTTGGCCAAGCTACTCAGACTACATAATTGTGGTCTTTTCACCTCGAGAGCCACAATGGTAAGGCATTTAGTAGTCCTTGATGGTGCATTATTTTGCATTATTTTGCAAATGTTGCATTATTTTGTTCCTTAAATTGTTGTTTTACAAATGAACGTTCTTATTTTCGTCGTTGGCTGTCAGGCGACGCGCACTCAACTGATCGCGATCTTCCTTCTCTTCCTATTGGCCACTACCGCTACAACGGTCAGCGCCAAGAAGAAAAAAGCCAAGGTTGTAGAGGAATCTGCAGAGGATGCATCTCCAGCTTCAGACGAAAAGCCAGCAGCTTCTGAGGAAGAAAAAACACCAGCAGCAGAAGCAGCAGAAGCAGCTGAACCCGCCGGGGACGGGGAATCGGCTGCGGAAGCTAAGGCTTCCGCGAACGATGCTTCCGCCGACGAAGGGGGGAAAGCGGAATCTGCTCCCGCAGCAGAGGAAGCGGCGAAGGAGGAGAAGGAGGGCGAAGGGGAGGATACCACCGGAGCTGACGCTGCTGCTGCTGGGGCTGGGGAGGACCCTCCTCCGGGGAGCCAGTTGGAGCAAGATATTATCAAGGCGGAGAAGAAAGCAGGAGACATCTTCCCTGCAGGTACGGATAAGGCAACGTTAAGAAGTTTTACGTTTGTCTCTCATGAAGAGACGTTATAATTTCCAATGATGTAGAATTTCGTGATCAGATCAGAGTGACGGAGACTCTTACGGCGGTTCGTGAATGGGTTTCGTGGCCCGTTCTCTCTGACGTTGGTCCCGATCGTTAACCCACGGCTGCATTTTGAGTCGGCTGGTTTGTTTCGCGTGTGCCAACAGCGGGCACCTGGCGTAGAATTTTGACGGACCGTCAATTCTGGAACTCGTCGTTTTCCGTGCTTCAAATCTCCGACCGCAATATGTCAGAACGTCGCGTTGACCTCCTGATTCCGCGGTTTACGCGCGTCGTATTGCCCAGTCGTGTCCGAGTATTACGTTTCAAGTCCATAATCTGACGCAGGAGCGTGAGCAGTGCAACCATTACTCATGCCGGGCAGAATGGATAAGGGTTGATCAAGTGTATGCGAGCAGGGGTGTGCAAGGGGGAGTCGCCCTGCGAGGGCGTAGGTCCGAGCAGCAGGTGTTGCATTGGCTCATTATGAGCTGGGTGTGTGACTTTTTCGAATGTTTAGTGTGCTGTATCTGCGGCGCTTGATCAATTGGGGTTGTGCGTGCAAGCGCGTGAGCAGCAAGTGTTAAGCCGCCTCGATTTGACCCTGGGTGCGTTCCTCACAAATTCACCGTGAGTGCTGTGGTTGATTGCGTGTGTGAGTGCAGGAGCGTGCAAGAAGGAAATCAAGTCGTTCTGCGAGGGCGTGGACGTGGGCAAAAGGACTTGAGATACCTCAATATGAACTGAGTGCTGTACCTGCTGTGGTTGGTTGGTTGTGTGAGTGCAGGCGCGTGCAAGAAGGAAATCAAGTCGTTCTGCGAGGGCGTGGACGTGGGCAACAGGAGTCTGGAGCGCTGCCTTTCTGACAGCTTCAAGCTCACCAAGTCCGCTGACGGTGAGCAGTGAGGTCGCTGACGGTTAACAGTGAGGTCGCTAACGGTTAACAGTTAGGCCGCTGACGATAAGCAGCAAAGGCGTGGACGTGGGCAACAGGAGTCTGGAGCGCTGCCTCTCTGACAGCTTCAAGCTCACCAAGTCCGCTGACGGTGAGCAGTGAGGGGCTGACGGTTAGCAGTGAGGGGCTGACGGTGAGCAGTGAGGGGCTGACGGTGAGCAGTGAGGGGCTGACGGTGAGCAGTGAGGGGCTGACGGTGAGCAGTGAGGGGCTGACGGTGAGCAGTGAGGGGCTGACGGTGAGAAGTGAGGGGCTGACGGTGAGCAGTGAGGGGCTGACGGTGAGCAGTGAGGGGCTGACGGTGAGCAGTGAGGGGCGGACGGTGAGCAGTGAGGGGCGGACGGTGAGCAGTGAGGGGCTGACGGTGAGAAGTGAGGGGCTGACGGTGAGAAGTGAGGCCGCTGACGAAACGCTTTATCAAACGTAAAATAACATATTTTTTTTTCAAACAATAGGAGTGCACTGAGAGGGTGAGCCATTCTTCAAAATGCACTGGGATGACCCGTTTCCTCTTGCCCCGTCCCCCCTGGCCCACACCGCAACCCCTCAGCAACCTCTGCTGAAAAAAAATTATGCACAAGACTCAACATTGACCCTCCTCCCTTCACCCATTCCCCTGTCACGCACGTTATCCTTCAGTTGCCTCGGAGGACAAGAAATTCGGCAAGAAAGGCCTCAAGGCCATCCGGCGGTTCAAGATTGATCCCTTTTCCGTGCCGTGCCTTCCCCCGCCCCCCTTTCCTGGCCCGCTCGTTACCCCTCAGCTGCCTCGGCCGACAAGAAGTTTGGGAAGAAGTGCCTCAAGGCCATCCGGCGGTTCAAGATCGAAGTGTACAAGGACATTTCGATCGACAAGGAGATGAGTGAGTGATGCTTAGCACATGGCTTCTATATAAAAGGAAGGAAGAGCGAAAGAAAGAAAGAAAGAAAGGAAAGAGCTG